TCCTACTATCACTGATTCTAGTTTGCTGTTCCAAATTTATTTACTGAATTCAAATGAAATTTCATAGTTGGGTTTGAATTCATGTCATAAGATCAACAATCTGAATTACCTAACCATTGTGCTACGATTCCCACACCTTTCTGGATATAGCAGGTTAAAGTTCTGGAGCACCACACAAATGCCAGGCAATGACCATCTCCAATAATAGACAATCTAATCACTGCCCCTTGACATTCAACCCCCATTTCTGAAGAAGGGTCTAGGACCGAAACGTCAGCCTTCCTGCTCCTCTGATGCTGCTTGGCCTGCTGTGTTCATCCAGCTCTATACCTTGTTATATCATATTTAATTGTTGCAGGTTTGTTTTCTTTATTCATTCACAGGATGAGGGGTGTCGCTGGTTAGGCTCCATTTATTCCCCATCCCTAATTGCCCAGAAGGCAGTTAAGAGTCAACCACATTGCTGTGGGTCTGGAGTCACATGTATGTCAAACCAGGTAAGGATGGCAGTTTCCTTCCCTAAAAGGACGTTAGTGAACCAGATGGGTCTTTTCGACAATTGACAGTCATTATTAGCTTCTTAATTACAGATCTTTATTGAATTCAAATTCCACCATCTACCATGGAGGGATTCAAACCCAAGTCCCCAGAACATTATCTAAGTCTCTGAATTAACAGTCCAGCGATAATACCACCAGGCCATAGCCTCTCCCTAAGATTTTCATACGAGGCTGTAGATATTCTTTAACAACAGAACATCATTTTATTATACAAAAAAAGGAAAACAGAGCTACATATTATACTCATAACAAAACACAAACATCAAAATAAGGTTTCAACCTGTCTCCTAATACCATCCATTCCAGTGACGCAATCCCAGAAAAATCCCAGCTTTTAAATCTGTACTTAACTGAGGCTTTCCAATTTGATTTTCATGAACTAGAACTCACAACTGAATTAAACTCTGCTTACTGATTGCTTGAAGTAAGTGAAAAAAAAACACAGGAACTTGATCTGACCTGTGGCACACATACTTCAATGCATATGTTCCATTTTGTTCAACAACACAGACAGATACATTAATTGCTGAACACAAGTGAGACTGTGAAACATCATCAGCTAATCATGCTGACGCCACTTAGACTAGCATGATGCTGGGCTGTCCTAACCTTCATAGTTCAGGAATCAGAGTGAGATTTTGAAGGTCTACTACACTGTCTGTTTTATTTTACATCTGGAAGGCAATGGACTATCCATAGCTTGGACCTTAACATTAATCATGTACTTGTTGAGTTTGCATAATTTAACGATCTGTTAGAAATCTGTATTATCTATGCTATATTACAAGATAGCTTACCATGAACAATGATATTCAGATATTTCTGGGTGAAGCAAAAAAAGTGTAAAAACCTATTAGAAATACAAAATGCTAATTTACAACTGGGTGTATATAAATGCTGGTTAGCTTTGCTGTAATTGTCAAGTCAGAACAAGAATGATACACATCATTTTCTGCTCTATACAGTGGAGTTCAGAGAAACAAGTAGTACTTCAGTCCTGAAGAAGGGTAATACCGGAAACACTGAGTTCTCCTTTCCTCCAGATGCTGCCTGGCTTGCTGTGTTCTTTCAGCCTTCTGTTTGTCTACCTAGTATTTAATCGAAACTGGATTGCTATTCCAGGTGGAACGTATGTCTAAGATTCAACAAATCATCACCATTGTAAACTGCAGAATACAGGACTTCAGGCACCAAACCAGATTCAAGAAACTACTATAAGATATTATACTAATAACATCTGTGCCACAGGCTTGACTGCACATATATGGATTAAAACGCCCATTTACAAATGAAAACACAAAATCTGTTGCACTATGGTCTGCCTACCTAGCTATGGAGACATAGTATATCAATTCCAAAACTAGAAAGAAATCAATGAAGGTACAAATTAAGCTTTGAAATTAAGCATTTTGGCACTGACTTAGTGACACCAACCAGCATCATTAATTACGCACTATCTTCAGTCTTAGCATACCTTACCGCCTATTGCATTCAAGGGACCCACAGGTCGTTTCAGCCATGGTTTTCAATGGAAAAAGGAATTGGATAGACATTTTCATGAATATACTTAAAATCCCAGCAGATGGGAAAATAACAGATGTCCCAATCCAGGATTGTCAATGCTGCTCCTTGCCAAGTATTAAGAAGATGCATTCAAGACCAGCAAGACTGGAGCTTTCTAGCTCCATGCCCTTTAAATGTCCCTTTTTCTGTGGAGATGCACTGATCTCTGCTTGACATTGTGCCTCAGGAGTGAAGTCAAGATCAGAAACAGACTTAGGGGAAAACCATGCTGTACTTCACTATTTTGAGACATCATTTATTAGTTCTGCTGTACGCTGCCTTAAACAGAGTTTCATACTTAACTAGCTAACCCACACTATGGTTATCCAAAGCACACTTCATTGAGGCTGATACTGACAGCAGAAAGTGCCAAGTTATTCTGTTTGCAGTTGATAAGCACGGTGTTTTAACCATTCAAATGTAACATAAATAAATGATAAAAATTAAATTACATGAAAAACATTTCACAGCCATTGTACACAGCAGCATCCTAACAGAAGAAATCCTAAAGCTAACATGCAACACCAGATTCTATACGAGAGATTCAACACTAGGCATTTACACTGACCATTCATGTTAGGACTTCAGAACTGTTCAGCGTATTTACAAATGGAAACTCCAAATTTGAGTGAATAGTAGCAAGAAAGGGAAAGATAAAAGTGCTGAATTTCCAAAAAAAGGTGCGCAGCACGCAAAAAAATGCCAAAAATCACACTTTCCCAAATAATGAACATACCTCTTTAACTTTCACTTCTTCATTAGACTTCTTAAGGTTGTTGTAATCTTGAAATAAATGATCATAGGCCTCTTGGATCTGCATAAGTTTTCTTCTGTTTAGATAGTAAAATAAATTATTAAATGAGTTATATTTTTATTTAACTATTACTCAAAATATTTTGTTTGCATAAATATTAAAAAGGAACAAATTTAGAAAATAACTTATTTTCAAGGATGTTCTAACATTAATGCCAATCTGTTGTCCTTTACACTTCAGGTTGCCAGAAGACTGAAGCTTCAAGCCAGGATTTCTACTCATCAGGCAGACTGATATCCCACTGTGGTAGTGAGATGCTGTGTTTTGGATAAGACTTTAAAGCCAATTCATGTGGATGTTAAAGATCGCGTGGTAATATGTACCATGAGATTTTCTGATGCCCTGCCCTACATTATTTTCAACTCAGATTATTCATTCATCTCATTCTTATTACACGTCTGTGGGACATGACTGGAACAAAATGCCTGCTGCCTAATGCTGCATTACAACTTCACAATTTATTGCCATAAAGCACTTTTTAATATATTGAGGTGAAATAGCACTATGCAACTTCAGCTTATGTAGGAGTGCCAAAATCTCTGCAAATTTGGAACATGAGAAACATGAAAAAAAAAACTTACTTTTCCTCTGCTAATTTTATCTTTTCATCTGCTAATTTCATCTGGTCAATTTGATGTTCTGATTGTAAGCTTTCCACTTGCAGCTTCAACTTTTCATTGTAAAATCCAAGCTGCCTTGTCTCCTCCACTGTCACCTGGCTGTTTGCCACCTGTTGTTCCAAATCAAGACATCTGAAAGAGATCAAGTGGTTAATAATTTTGTTGCACCCACTAACAACCACAAAGATTAATCAAAACTAAGGTAACAATTCAAACTCTTAAGGTTACAAGTGGTTAAAATCTTAACTTTAGATTAAATTTAGTGTTGGGCCAAAATAATGCATTCCTCAAACCAGTCTGACTTTGATTTGATATTTTGTTCCATCAAAATGTTTTGATGGAACATCAGCAGAAGCAGATGCGTAATTTCTGAAATGTATTTGTTGGCTAAACCATCCAATTATTTTCTACAGACAATAACATCCATCTGGAAGAGCATTTATAAAGTGGAACCATACAGGAGAGGAATGATAAGTCTAAAAAGCTTGCATTTTTCTCCCAGTTTTCACAAAACTGTTTTTGATATTTATATGCTACTTGTTCCCCATCAATTCACAAGCATGGTAAAATTTAATTACTTTTTGAAATATCCATACCCACAATGAAGTAGTATCAGATAATATTCTGCTCATAGTGGATGAATAATGATCAAGAACTTGTTCTGGCATTAAAAAATTACTGAGAACTGTTAATAATAGGCCACAAAAATAAATGGCAATGTCTTAAAATGATTGTATCCTCAGTGATTTTCCCATTAAGGATTCCAGGAATATTCTACACTGAATGTAGTAACTGAAGGGGATGCAGAATTTGTTTTATGCCAGTGGTGTTCAAATATCCTTTCTGATAGATAAAACCAAAAAAAAGCTTCCAATAATTAACATTTACAAAATGTTAAATATTTACATGAATGTCACCTGCCATGCAGCATTCTCTAGCCATGAGGTGACCTGCTCCTTGGCATTCTACAAATGCTGTGGTATAAATACACACTACAAATTAAAGACAGTTGCAGTGTGAGTGAGGGTTAATCCCATACCCTAAAGTGCCCTTCCTAATAAGAAGAGTACAAAGTAAATATGTTTCATCAATAAAACAGGTACTGGGTTTAGGATGGCACGGTTGATGAAATTTACAAAAATAATTAAACTTGTAGAAAACAGTCTTTCATCACTACAATATCGCAAAAACTGAAGGAAGATATAATAACACAGGAAATAATATTAAATGCAGGAAAACAACAGCAATAAGATAGTATGAGAAAATAAATCAGAAAGTGCAATATCTTACAAGTTCTGCTTGACCAGTTCAGTGCTCTCCAGAATTGTTTTTTATGTCTACGACTATATCAGTTGCAAGACAATTGAGAAGATGGGATCAATGGGGAGAGAATTATCATCAAAAAAATGTGTCACTACCAAAGAGGATATCAGAGAGAAAGTGAATATTGGTGGATCAGAGTGAGAAAAGCCAGTAATATTATGATGGATGAAAGCAAAATTTTAAATTCGGCTGCAGGATGATGAACACCAGGGCCTAATGGGTTATATCCTAGAAATCCAACAGAGGTTAAACCTTCAGTTCTGAAGATGGGTCCAGACCCAAAATGTCAACTTTCCTACTCCTCTGATGCTGCCTGACCTGCTGTGTTCCTCTGGCTCCACACTGTGTTATCTCTGACTCCAGCGTCTGTAGTTCTTACTACCTCTCAGAGGTTAAACGGGGCACTGTTGAGGCCTTATGAGTTTTACTTCATCCACTGAGAGTGTGCTTGTGCAACAGGAGATGGAAGATTGGCCAATGTAGTGCATCGCATATCAAAAGAAGGAACTAATCTAGGTCATTATAGGACACGCAACACTTTTAGCAGGGAAAGTTACACATCCTCTAAAATTAAAACCATCATTTATCTAGATAATGTGAAAATAGAAGTATACGGCACAGATTTTAAAAGATATATACAGGATTCCAGAATTATGACTTTGAGGAAGTTGCAGGCAGATGACAAAAATTAAATAGATTGTGTGTAAATGGATTTGAAACTTTTGCCAAGACACCCCAGAAGGTTTCTGAAGATCAGGTACAGAATTAAAAAGAGAAGGTAGCAACCCATCTTAAAAATTGGTTTGATTATGTGGCACGAGTAAAGAACAGACCATTTCCAGTAATTAAGAAGCTTAAGCCAATGGCTGTGGATACAAGATTACACTCAAGAGATTTGAAACAGACAGAAAGATAAAATTATTTAGAGAGTGCTGTAAGGTTGAGGGATTTATTTCAAGGATGACGCTGGACTAGGAAGACTAGTACCTTATGTCCATGTCCTTTGTCAGAAATCCACACAGACTTAACTTTCATCGTAATACTTCATGATCAACTGTTAATGAAGTTCAGGAGCAATTTCCTCTCTTTTCATCTAGGAAAGGATTTTTCCTCTTTTGCAGAATATTGAAGATTATTAAATCATTAGAGAATTAGTGTTTCAATGATACCCATGACAGGACAAAGCAATGAAGTTCTGCCCAAATGTTGCTTGAGTGGTCTGCAACAGCTCCTCATTCAACTTTGATAATATTCACTGTACCTCAAGCATTAAAATTAGTTTCCCAAGATTCAACTTACTTATCCATTTTCCAAACATATTTCTTACCTCTCATTAAGAGATTTCTTCATAAGTTCAGCTTCATCCAGCTTTTTCTGGGCTTCCTGCAAATCTTTTAATAATGACATCACTTGTGACTTCAATGCTTCAACTTCATTTGAAGACTGTAGATACATACAAATTGCACTGTTAACCTGACTAGTAACTTTATATAGTAATATAACTGAATAATGCTGCAGATATCAAACCTATTTTATGCTAAGCTGCTAAATCTACAAACATTATGATGTAGTCTACAATGCTGCTAAGCCAATGCATTACCAATTATAGTTTAGATGACTGAAGCTGTTATTGAATCCCTCTTCACTGTCAGAAAACATTAATTTGCATTACTTTTTAAATATCCCATGAAATGCTGGATAGTGAAAATGGTAAATGTAGGAAGGACTAAACAACTAACACTTCCTAAAGCTTTACTCAATATCCTACGTAGAACTAATGTCAATGTGGCTCGATTCCAAAAGCAAAATCTGGTTTGTACATGCTCAGTAAGGTGTTTAGTTCGCGTCTGAAGAAGGGATAGATTTAAAACGAATCCCTCATACAATGTTTCAGGAAGTGTGATAAATCTATAGAGCAGATAGTGGACAGCATCAGAAGCATAATAAGCTTTGGGCAGGACAATGTAGAAATCCAAAGGACAGTTTGGTGGAGAGAGCAGATAGTTGGCACACAAAGTTCAATGCAGAGAAGTGAGCCAATGCATTTTGACAGACAATATTAAATATAGTACAACACTTAATGAAATGCCAAAGCAGAGTGGTATGGGTGTACATGTGCAGAGATCACTGAAGGATGGAGGAGAGGTAGTTAATTAAGCAGGCAGTATCCCAGGCTCTATTAATAGCAGTATAGACTACAAGAGCAAGGAGGTTATGCTGAACTTATACAAGACACTTGTCAGACCTCAGGGAAAATATTGTGTAGAGTTCTGGACGCCATTCAATAGATCTGATGTGAGCTTACTTATAAAACGTGTAGAGCAGATTTACAAAAAATGGTTGTAGGGATTTGAATTAAAATATGAGGACAGACTGGAGAGCTGGGAATATTCCTCTTAGACAGAAGGCTATTAACAGAAGATTTGATAAAAGATTTCAAAATCATAAACAGGTGTTGAAAGAGAAGAAAGGGAAAAACTGTTCCTGGTTGTAAAAGGATGAACAACGAGAGGGCAAAGACTTAAAGTGACTTGCAAATGCAGCAAACGTGATGCGAGAAAAAGCTTTTTCACACAACAGGTGACGGGTCTGGAATGCATTGCCTGGACGTTTGGAGGAGGAGGAGCCATTTGAGACATTCAAGAAGATTTGAATGATTATTTGAATGCAGACAATGTAAAGCAATAGAGAAACAGGAGTATGGCACTAAGTCATGACATTCACTGCACAGCCAGTACAGATACAATGGGCCAAATGGCCTCCATGTGCACCATAACAATTCTGTCATTTTATCTGAAATAAATTAGATTGTTTAAGGGCTCCTAAAGAAACATTATTTTGGGACATAATCTGGGATCACAAAAGGCACCAATGCAGCTATGTATTTGCAAGTGCTTCTTTCTACTATGGTGGGCTCCTTCGCCATGTAATGGGTCTGTTATAGACTAACGAAAAAGACTGAGTATTATGGTGACTCAATAGGTCCGTTCTTATTTCATGAGTACCTCAGTCTTTTCGCACTGCGCAACTTATGATGGTGAAATAAACCCCTTTATAACAAGCATGGAATCCATTTTAGTCTTATAAACTTGAGTAATAAATCACTTACTTGGTTGTTCGGATTATTCAAACCTTCTACTGGAGCAGCTGTTGTTTCAGTATTCTGTTGCTCTATACTGACATCAATCAGCATTGTCCCAGGTGCCAATTCCTGTTTGGTAACAGACGAAAGCTGCTCTGCTACATTTTTCTCAGTCTGTCTTGCAAGCTCAGCTGTTTCACACACTTTCTCCAACTCTGAAATCCTGACAAACATTGTCAAATTATGTGAATGCTTACCATGAAGGAAAATAATGAAAGCTAATTTCTAATGATAAATGTACCCAAACAATATTTTTATTTTACTAAGTACAAGGCAAATTGTAATTAAAGTCACATTTATTAACAAAAAAGTTGGATAAAGTCTCTCAACTTTTAACCGATCAATGCCCTTTCTTCAGTTTTTCTTACAAATTCAATTGCATTTATCATGTGACCAATAATGAATGGCAGCATTCTTTCTTCGATGGTGTCACAGGGAACAAAGCTTCACCTTTCGTACAATTATGACATCAGTCAAGTTGATAGAAGGTCAACAAATCAAATTCAAAAACAACATCGAAATTTGGAATATGAGAGTTAACATGGCCCAAAACGTATACAGAATTCACAAAACAACTCACTGTATTAGACACTGAAATAGAATTCAAAGCGCTTAAAGGTTTGGTTCTAATAGAGGCATTTGCATATCCTCAAAATTCTTTACCTTTGCTTTGAAGATTGAAGCTCATGTTCGAGCTTTTCCAAATTCAGAGTCTTGTCCCTCAGCACATGAAGGAGTTGGCTGACTGTTAACTCTTCTGACAGCAGGCGTTTTCCAGTACTATCATGTACGTTTGACCTGTTTTCAATGATTGCATATTTAAAATAAATTTTGGTATGTTAATTATTTCAAACTACTCCCTATGATAAAATAACACAGAAAAGGCTAAACAAAAACAAGGAACTACAGATGCTGGAAATCTGAAACAACACAGAAAAATCTAGAGGAACTCAATAGGTCTAGCAGCATCTGTGGAAAGAAAGCAGTGTCAATGTTTTGGGTTTAGGAACCTTTCTTCAGAACTGACTTCAGCATCGACAACATTGGTGCTGCTTCCCTCTCCCTTCAGAATTGGGAAAATTTATCAATTTCGCTTCACCCTACTCTCACCTTCACGTGGTCCATCTCTGACTCCTCTCTTCCCTACCTTGATATCTCCTTTCCCACTTCTGGGAATAGGCTAGCCATCAACATTCACTACAAATCCACCAACTCCCAGAGCTAGTTGGACCGTATATCCTTATACCCAGCTTCCTGCAAGGACTCCAGCCCACTCTCTCAGTTTCTGTCTCCATTTCATCTGTTCTGATGATGCCATCTTCCATACTGGAGCCTCAGCAATGTCCATCTTTGCCCTCACTGAGGATCCTTCACCACCACGATCGACAGAATCCTCAGCTATGCCCACCTCCCGCACTTCTGCCCTCACCCCTTCTCCTCCCTCCTGCAACAATAATAGGTCCCCAAGAGCCTCACATTCTACTCCACCAGCATCCACATCCAAAGGACTAAAGGCCATCATTTCTACCACCACAAGACATATTCCCCTTCCCTCCTTTGTCAGCCTTCCACAGGGATCATTCTCTCCGGAACACTCTGGTCCACTTCTGACACCCCTCCCAGCATCTTCCCTTGCAATCCCAGAAGACGTAATCTCTGTTCGTTTACTTCCTCCCACCTCACTATTCAAGGCACTGGACACACTTTCCAGGTGAAGCAGCTAATTACCTGCACTTGACTCAATCTAGTCAACTGTATTTGCTGCTCACAACACGATCGCCTCAACGCTGGGGAGATGAAGTGCAGAACACCTACATTCTACCCAATTTCCAGTTACCCACCATTTCAGATGTTCCCTGGCCAACATCTGTGTCCAAGCCTTTCTGCAATGCTCCAGTGAAGCTCAGCACAAACTGAATGAATAGCATTGCATTTTACACTTGGGGACCCTGCAGTTTCAGGACTCAATATTCAGTTCAATAACTTCAGGGCTGAGCTACTTGTCCCATGTCCTTTGTCCATCCCCAACACCCCAGGCCTTTTCATTACATGGGCTGCTTTCACCACAGCCAACTCACTGTCACCCACTAATTGTACCCCTCCAATTAGCAGCTTTTCTTTCCCCTTGGCTCACCATTACCCATTCCTTTGTCTGCCCAAAAGCATCTCTCTCTGTGGGCTCCAGCTCCACCTATCACTTGGTCTGCCCCATCTTCAATTTCAGTTTATATACCAAACTAGCTACAGTTTTGAAGAAGAGTCACTGGATGCTAAACCTTCACTGTTTCTCTCTCCACAGGTGCTACCAGACCTGCTGAGTTTCTCCAGCTACTTTTGTTTGCGTTACTGAAAAAGACTACTTTCATTTTGAAAATTGCACTTTAATAAAACAGTGATTAATTTAATTTATGCATTCAAGTAAGAAGAGTATCAATTAAGTATAATTTCTGAAAACAAAGATTTTTTGTCAAAATTGTCACAAGCCTTGAAGCTACCCTTGCAGAATTACAAAATATCAAATTATTCAATCATGATTAACAAAGTTCCACAGGTGATATTTTCAAGAAGCCCAAAAACTAATGGTTCCTCAGTAATAGTGTTACAATCTATTGACACTTATATTTAACACTCAAAACCATCTGCTATAGCCACTTCAGCTTTGACTCTTCTGTGTATCTATTTTTTTCTAATTCCTGCAGTACACCCAATGAAAATGGTACCTTGGCCTCATGAATGGCAATTATCCTGCAGTAAAATAACTTACGTGCATTTAACACAGAAACAATAAAAATCCACTGGCTAAACTTTACAGGTCTTGGGTTTGGGCAAGACTTCTTAAAATATCTATTACATCTAAAATGTCGTGGGACCAAAGAATCTCTGAGATTCCACAGTTTGGTGAAATTGAAAAGCTACATCTTACATTGGCATTAAAGATAGAGTCATTGGGTCATAAAGCACGGAAGCAGACCCTTCAATCCAACTTATCCATGTCAACCAGATATCCCAATCTGACCTAGTCCCATTTGCCAGTATTTGGCCCATATCCCTCTATATCTTTCCAATTCATTTACCCATCCAAATACCTTTTGAATTTTGTAATTGTACCTTCCTCCACCACTTCCTCTGGCAGTTTGTTCCATACATCACCACTCTCTGCGTGAAAAGATTATCCCTCAGATCCTTTTTAAAATCTTTCCCCTGTCACCTTAAACCTATGCTGTCGAGTTCTGGACTCCCTTACCCTGGGAAAAAGACTTTGGCTATTGATCCTATCCATGCCCTTCCTGATTTTATTAGTCTTCTCTATAAGGACCCCTTCAGCCCCCAGTGCTCCAGGGAAAAAAGCCTTAGCCTATGCACTTGGTTTAAAGGAAGTAGTGATTCAGTTGGTAGGGTTTTCTGTGGGAATATCACCAGCCTCTCCTTGTCTCTTAAATGATATGGGGATGGTGCCAGAAGGTGGACTTGAAGTAGATAATCAGTCATGAAGTTGCTCAATGACACAGCAGGCTCAAAGAGCCAAATGGCTTACTTCTCTTATTTCTTATGCTTGGCCTTGCACTTCACTGTATGATTATGTTTCAATTAATGATCTCTGGTGCAAAACAGTGTAAGACCTACACTTCATGATGAATTATTATATTTTTCAACTAGATGGCTGCTCTAATTTTCTTGAATTAGTTCAGCAAACATTTAGATAAATTAAGAGTTTATCTAGCTGCAACTCTCTTCGTTAATTAACGGTGATTCTCTCATTTTTCAGTTAGGTGGAGATTGAGCTTCAAATTCTGTGCCATATCTTGACTCCTAAAGTATTCTTTTATTTATTCTATTGTCTTATGATTCTTCTTTCAATAGTTAGCGAGCTTTATACTTCTGAATAGCCACATTCTCAAAACACTCTCAGACTGATCATGGCAATGAAATTAAATTGATGTATTTTACCAGTATAACGTAGGAATTTGCATTTGAGAGAAGCAGTATGTTTTGAGCAACAAAGCTTCAGTGCATTATTTCAAAGGATACTCTTTGCACAATGCTATTTGGATTCATGGAACTTTACATATGGAAGTAATCAAATCTTAATTTGAAATAAGTTAAATTGCAATTGAAAGCTTAAACAGCATACAAACTTACTTCAAATTTTAATTAAATAATTAAATAAATGAAATACTTGCGTGTAGACTGTTTGGCTGTCGGCACTCTTGCATTGCATTTCCTTTGCTGCTTTCAGTTCACCATCATCTGCAGCCTCCTACATAATTAAATAGTATTACTGCCTTTGAATTTCATTGTACACTGCTACATGCTCATTGCTCAAAGTTAAAAGATTTTTAAATGTACATAATTGCTCAAACATACATTATGCTATAAAATTGGCACATTTTACCAAGCTGACAAAAACCAAACAATTCCAGAAAATTTCAACTTATTAAAATATATGTTAATATATTTTCAATATATGTTAAATTTCATCCCTACTTTTAAATCCTTTGCAATGTTCCATGGCCCAACCAATATTTCAATCAATGTATTCTTAAGCCTTGGTCTCCAGTGCTCTTGAGTTAGAAGCCTGGGCTTGAGAGGTAGGTTGATTTGCTCTACTTTAATCCTCTACTGACCTCACACACTCTCTCTCTCTCTCTCTCTCTCTCCCCCCCACCCACCCCCGACCTTGCCTTGCATCCAAACCCTTTGTGCTTACTGCTTTTAAGAAGCAAAATTCTCATAAGCAGTGTGTCACAGTATAAAATCACAGCAATTAGGATGCATTTTGTAATTTCGCGATACAGTTTCTTCAACTTCATAGGTGTGTTTTGCTAGCACTTTCACGAATTCAGCACAGGCTTGGTTCATAAATTAGATAGCAGCCTGAACAAACCACTAACTTATCTTGTTTTTAGGAAATTCATAAACGTAGAAATGTATATTCGCACACTGTAACAATAACCAATTTCTGGCACTAACAGGCACTGGAATTCCATTTTTAAAATTTAGCTTTCCCACATACCATTCGAATTTCAACAAATGAATCATCAGATGATGGGGCACCCAATTTCAGCAGAAGCTCTGAATTCATGGCAACCAAATCAGCCTTTTCTGTCTGCAGCCTGCTAACAAGCGCTTTCAGTTGTTGAATATCTTGTTCCATCAGATTAGAGATTGCACCTTTGGGTACTTCCTGTCAGAAAATAAAAATTACGAGTTTAAAAAATATTATCCAACTGATTCCTTACCAACACAAAGAATGGAATGAGAGGAGCAAACTTGTGCCTATAAAGTCCATTACTTCCCACAAATCAAGCTTAATTTGTGTAGTCATGGATTCCAATATTTCAAAGAGGCATATGATTGAAATTGTAATTGTGAAGCTTTCTTCTTCACAGGGTAATCAAGCAAATATATCAAACATTGTTCTAAATTTATTTAATCATATCTGACCAGTTGCACATTACATTACATCCTTTGGCCCAGGAGAAACATCTGGAAGATTTTCAGAGACTACAGTCCTCAATTTATTATAAGTTATAATTATTATTATAATTTATTATAAGGGTAATATTTATTACTTTTACACTCATTTGGAGGCAGGTATTTGGCCATTTCTATGTAAAACCAAAATATAATTAATTGATTTTAACAGAAGCTTACTTTAAACAGTGTATCATACTTAAAAAGGAAGAAAAATGTCAATTTTTTGTCTTGCGAATGCTGGAATAGTACCCAGGAGTCTAACTTTAATGCCTATTTACAACCCAGCATGTTGCTTGATTTTAAACATTTGAACGTGGAACATAACGCCTAGACAACAAAAATGCCTTTTTCAGTAGTTACTGCCAATATTAACTAATTCCCGATAAAATGAATCATGGTTCAAATGATTCTATACTTTCTTTTCATTAACAGTGTAAAAAATCCAAATCTGGAAATCACTCCAATCACTGCATGTGCACACTTTTCCATTTCTCAGTTAACCACTCTTATCAACACCATGATCCAGTGTAGGCATTCACAGATTGTAAATATATATCCAAAGATTAGAACCTGGATCAGAGGTAAAGACGGTTTTTTTTAAAAACAGAAATTTAGCATTGCAGTACAATCGCTTTTCAGCAATTTAAAAAGCTGAATCACATTTCTTCTTGCTTTTCCTTTAACGTGAACAAATTAAAATATTTCAGCCTCCATATCTGCAATGAAACAGGTGTACAAACAGAGCTGAAAACCTTCAGTTCTTGCTTTGGATACCTGCGTAGTATCAGCACTCAATTCTTGTATTTTGCTCTTCAAGATTTCATTCTCTGTAGTAAGGTCTGTTAATCGGGTTTTGGCCTCTTCAAACTTGTTCTGAATATAGTCCCTTTCTTCCCTCTGCTTTTCCCTCCAAGTTGCAAGCTCTTCATAACGTTCCTTCATTGCATGATTTGTTTGCTTGATTGCTTCTGCAAGGCAAAATCACTGACATTTACTTGCAAGAAGATGAACTAAATATAGAATTGTTCTGCAAGTTAAATCTAATAGGATATTTTTATAATTTAGTGAAATATCACAGCTACTCATTACAGGCTGACTCAAAATGACTTTAAATTGATTTACTAAAAATAGTTCTGTCATACGTTAAATTACTGCACTAAAAGTTAGAAAAATACAACTATTATAGAGGTGGAGGTTCATTCCATTGCTTGTATCTTTCATTGTAATTTTTATATAATTCAAACAGAAACTTCTTTTGAACCATTTTCTTTAAGATTTTGTCAAACCAAAAATGGTGCAGAACAGGGACAGAAAACGTGGTGTCTAGAGGGATTCTGATGAAGGGTCACGACCTGAAACGTTGACTTTCCTGTTCATCTGATGCTGCCTGACCTGCTGTGTTCCTCCAGCTTCACACTGTGCTGACAAAGTAATTGTTAATATGTTTTACATGAAGTGGTTTCATATTATAAACAACAATTTAGATGCAGGTCTGTAATTACTGATTTATTTGAAATGGGGTCACTGCTCTTGATCAGGTGGTATTTCAGGTGTGTAAAACAGAAGAGCTTTGAACTAATATCTCTTCAAATGGATGTGAAAAATTAGTTATTTAGATCAGTAGATTGTGCTTTTAATAAAACATCCTAAAGTACAAAATTGATAGCTCTCCTTTTTTAAAAGTTTTTTTTGTATTTAACTATGCTCAAAATATCTGAAGAAGCATTGCCATTTAAATTACAATAAAAATGTAGAAAGTACAAAACTAATTAGTGTCAGTGTTGTGGCTGTCTTTTACCAAAGTAGAAAGTACCAGATATTACTGTGTGAAACTTTCTCTGCAACAATTTTTTCCAGGGTCATGCAAATATTATTACGTTTTTTTTGTTCTAACAAGCAAGTTTTTGACTAATAATTAACCTTTGCAGTTCTAAGTAAGGATGTGACTCTCGCACCCACTCTCACAGCCAAGCAATAAGTCTATGTCTAGGTCTTTGAATTTTAGGGAGATTTCACAAAATAAAGGACTCAATTTCATTAAGTATTTTACAACTTCAAAAGTAATAATGATTGAAATGTTTTTAAGACAATAATGCAAAGTTTACGATAATTGAAACATCTACAGTTGATATATTTTTTGTTCCAATTTTAGTGCAATAACTCAACTTGCATCACCCAGATAAAATACTAAACTCCTAATACAGGGGATCCCTGATTTATGAACGTTCAACTTACAAATGTTCGTACTTACTGTACCATGCAGGTGTGTAATTCTAAAGACCCAACAAACGTGCATATCCTGTACTTACAAATGTCTGCTTTATAGTGTCCTACATTGTGTTCTGGCTTGAATACAAATCAACTTGCAAATGGATTCAGATTTGGAATCCACTTGCAACCCAGGAACTGATCGTACCTATATTTATTTGTAGGTGTGCGACTGGCTGCAACTATATTCAAGATATAAATTCCCAAGGTAAATCCAGAAGTTATTGTGGCTTTTGAAATGTTCAATTGACATCATTTTTCTGCATGGTTAAAACTGCATGGTTCCACTTCTAGAAGGGTGAAAGATAGGGATGGTCTTGATTTAGCAAACACTTAGCAGACCAAGATTTTTAATTAAATCACGAGAATGGCAGAAGTTACTGCCAGAACAGGTGGTGAATTCAGAACCAAATCTAACTATGTTATCTTGAACAAGTCCTCTGTGAAACAGCTTTCTAAACATCTGAAATTTTTAAAAAAAGTACTGGAGCAACTCAGCAGGTCCGGCAGCATCCGTGAAGGAAGAAACAGAATTACTGTTTTGAGTGTTATATGACTCTTGTTTGCAACCGATAAGTAAGTGGATGGTCATGTGTTTCAAAGTTACAGAAGTAGATAGGAGCTTATATCATCAAACACTGTATAGGACATAAATAGGCCTGTTTTGAGGAGGCCAGGGCTAACTAGCAGAAATGTGGACAAATATATAAATTTAAGGATTCTGCATATCAATTTGCACACACAATCAACTAAAGAAGTTTAAAAACATGAGATCAATAATGTACATGATCTTTTGAAAATGCAGGCTAGATAACAAGTAGTCCACTGTGGCCATTTAAATAGGTTATTTGTTTTTGTTTGTTACTTTTCTCCTACTCTCACCACCATCAACTTTTCAGAAAATTAAAATCATATTTCTTCATTCTTCCATTTAAAATCCCCTGTGACTCATCATTACCCAGTCGACAGGGTTATTGGGTAACTCTGTCTGGCTTCTTGGAAGAATACCAGCAGTGCAAGGTGCATTTGATATTTTAGCAGATCTGGCAGCATTTGTAGAGAGAGAAACAGAGTTAACATCAAGTCTGATATGACTCTTCTGAAGAACTCAAAGCATTAACTCTGCTTCTCTCTCCACAGATGCTACAAAACCTGCTGAATTTCTCTGGCATTTTCAGTTTCCATATCAGATTTCCAGCATCTGCAGTATTTGGCTTTTATTGCATTTGATATTGCTTCAGCTTCATGTTGACAAAGAATATTTCAAACTCTCTGTAAATATAACTTTTAAGGAATCTATATTTAGAATTAAAATTAATTTACAGACTAAAATTTTTTTAAAAACTGTCTTTTATGAGGAAAAAATAACTAGCACACATATATGGTGCCTAATTATGTCAAGAGGGCAGTTAAGAGTTACTTGGGGTCTGGAGTCACACGTGGGTCAGACCAGATAATGATGATGCATTTTCTTCTCTAAATGGATGTTAGTGAACTAAAGGGGTTTTCGTGACAATCAATAATAATTTCATGGTCACTATTAGGCAGTCAAGCTTATAAAACTACATGTATTTTCTCCAAGGTCAATATATCCTTCTGAAGGTAGGGTGCCCAGATGTGCTCATAGTACTTCATGTGGGCTCTAACCAGGGTTTAGTACAGCTGCAGGATAATTTCTGCATCCTTGTACTCCAGTCTTCCAGATATACAGGCCACCATTCAATTTTGCTTTGTTGATTATTTTCTACATCTTTTTCTGATGTATTAAAGATCTATTCATCTGAACCCAATGTCTCTTTGGATATCCAGAGTATTTAACTTCATAGCATCTAGAAAATATATTTCCACAATAAAGCTGTGAAGAATTATTAAATGATAAAATATTACTATGTGATGTACATATACAATTAAACCCTTTAATTTAATTAATCATCAACATCAGAATCTAAACAACTTTGTGAATGCATTACAGAGCTGATTACATTTGTGCCTTAACTTAAGTCTAAGAGAGGGACCAAACCTTTTAACTCATTGTTCTCTTTAATCAGTTCATCCATTTGCTGTAGGGTATCTTCTGGCGTGAAGGTTGCTAGCATATGGGGGCCATTGACACTCATGGCAGGAACCCCACTCACAGTATGCAATCCTTGATTCAAATTCTGTGTCGTCTGTCCAGGGGCAGAAGTATTTACCTGTTAAAACACATCATTGTCTCTCTTCATTATGAAAAAAGCTAATATTTAAACAAGTACAAAAGTTGACAGTACAGGACATGCACTATAATACCTACTACATCAGCTTTAACACATACACTGCATTGTTTTATTGCACATTTAGCGATAAAGGTTTACATATTATAGCGCTTTTCACAAACTAGGGGCTGTATTTTTAAGGTGAGGAGAAAAATTTAAAAGTAACCTCAGGGCAACTTTTTCATATAGAGGGTGGTTCGTATGTGGAATGAACTGCCAGAGGAAGTGGTAGATGCAGGGTACAGTTACAACATTTAAAAGACATTTGGACAGGTACATGTATAGGAAAGGTTTACTGGGATATGGGCCAATTGCAGGTAAGTGGACTAGTTTAATTTGGGAAACTTGGTCGACATGGACAAGTTGGACTGAAGAGTCCGTTTCTGTACAAGTCCTGTACTTGTTACATTACCAAACTGCAGTATCTCACATTTATTCAAATTAAATTCTATCTGACACTCCTTAGCCCATTGACCCAATCGAACAAGATCTCTTTGTAGTCTTGGATAACCTTCTTCACTGTCCACTACACCACCAATTTTGGTGTCATCTGCAAACTTTCTAACCATGCCTCTTATATTCTCATCCAAGTCATTTATATAAATGACAAACAAAAGTGGAACCAGTATCGAACTCTGTGGAACACAGGTCTCCAGTCAGGAAAACAACCCTCCACCAACACCCTCTGTCTCCGACCATAAAGCCAATTTTGTATCCAACTAGCGAGCTCACCCTGAATCCCATGTGATCTGACTTTACTAAGTTTACTAATGTGTCTACCATGCAGAACCTTGTCAAAGGCTTTACTAAAGTTCAAGTAAACACGTACTATGCTGCCCCCATTAATCTTTTTGATTACTTCGTTAAAAAAAAACTCAATTAAGTTGAGTATCTTCCTCAACTTGCTTCCACTGTGGTTGCCACGGCCCTCAGCGATAGCCGTTTTATTTCCACACACTTCTGTTCTCACCCCGTTTATTTCCCAGAACCATGATCAGGTTCTCTTATCCTCATCTTCTACCAATTGGCTTTCATTACTCTACGAATTGCCCTCTGCCACTTCTATTACCCCCAGCACAGTGTCATTACCAAATTTGCAATTTTAACATCAACCTTCTGAAGGGAGCATGCATTCAGTGACACCCTAATCTGTTTCTCAAATACCCCTTCTCCTTCTTAAGGCATCTTTCCATGTAAGTGCAGATGCAACACCTTCCCTTCTACCTTCTCACTACCAAGACTGCAAAGACTCTTTCCATTTGAGAGAGTGATGTCACATACAGTATTTTTTTCTCACAGTGTTGTGTTTACATTGTAAAATAGTGATCGTTTTATGGAACATCTCCATTTAGTCCACAATCGTAATCCTGCCTTTTCCTGGCGCTGTCATTTCAACTCCTCCTTAACTCAGACCTCTCTGACTTCAGTGTCCTACACTCTTCCAGTGAAACTCAATTTAAACTCAGTGAACAGCATACCAGCTTTTGATTTAAAATTTTACAACCTTCTGGACTCAACAATTTCAGATCACAAAATTCTGACATTTTTTGACATTTAATCTTGGTCTCCAATCTATCAAGAGTTCCCTTTCGCTCTTCCTTTCCTACCCTCACCTTGTTTTAAACTGATTACACCTTCAAACTTCACAGGTCACAGACTTGAAATATTCAGTCTGTTTCACTCCACAGGGATGATGTTTGACCTCAACATTTCCAGAATTTCCCATTCTTATAACAGATTCTAGACCCATTTATTCAAATTAGTACCAGGGGATCTTAAACATCCACCTGCGATGGGGCACAGAAGATTATTTAACATTTCACCTGAAAGATAACACTATGTTCTATGTAACATTCCCTCAGTACTGAAGTAGAATGCCAATCTAGATTTTATGTTGAAATTCTCAATGATAGCTTTTAATGTTTGTTCATACATGTGATTCAGCAATCACTAGCATGGCCTGCACTTGAACTGAGCAACATGGTAGGGCCATTTCAGAGGAAAGTTAAGGATCAACTGCACTGTTGTGTGTCTAGACTCCAAATTTAGACCAGACTAGGTGAGAAAGGCAGATTTCTAGGAGTGAATCAGGTGAGAGTTTACAACATTAATGAAAACTGTCCCTTATATTGCAGACTTTGAGAGTTGGATTTAAGGAGCTGCGGCAGGATTTTAACCCTTGTTCCCAGGATTAGTACTCTGGATTATTGGGCACTGGCACTATCACCACACAACTTTCCGAACCATTGACAGAGCTGCCGTCACAAGGTAATACACGAGCAATGAAGGAATGTGCCAAACATCAACAGGACTATGAGATAACACGGTATGGAGTTGGAGGAACACAACGGGCCAGGCAGCATCAGAGGAGCAGGAATGTTGACGTTTCGGGTCGGGATCCTTCGCTCAAAACAATCAGCCCCAGCCTAAGATAACAAGGTGTAGAGCTGGATGAACACAGCAGGCCAAGCAGCATCAGAGGATCAGGAAGGCTGACGTTTCGGGCCTAGACCCTTCTTCAGAAATTTCTGAAAGGTGTAGGCCCGAAACCTCAGCCTTCCTGCTCCTCTGATGCTGCTTGGCCT